TTTGAAAAGATCAACCCATTGGCTTCTGGACTCCTAAGTTTCTAGCAAGAAATCCACTGATAATCATATTAAGGGTCCCTAGTATATGCTGACTCACTTCTCTCTCATTTTCTAGATCAACTTGTTGTCTTTGGCTTTTAAAACTGGTAATGCTTCAGTATAGTCACTCTGAATTCATCTTAAGAGTTGAGCTTGTCAGATATTCATATTCAGCTTTCATCAAATTAGGGGACATTACTAGTCATTCTTTCTTCTAACAGTCTCTCTGGCCTGTTCCTTCTTTTGCTTTTGAGACACCCATGATGCATAAGTTGATTCACTTGACGATGTCCCATAGGCTATACCATTTTTCTTCAATATTTTTGTTTCTTGGCCTCAATAACTTCCATCATTCTATTTTCAAGTTCACTGATTATTTCTTCTGCCTGGTGAAATCTATCTATGAATACCTTTAGTTAACTTTTCAGTTACTTTACTTTTTAGTTCCATTTTTTTTTTAAGTTTCCTGTCTATTGATAGTTCCATTTTGATTAGACATCATTTCCTTGACTTTCTCACACCTTCCTCTTGTTCTCTGAGCTTCAAGACGGTTGTTTTAGAGTCTTTGTTAGTGTATTTGTCATTAGGTCCTTTTCAGGAAACTGGTCATGGTTTTTTTTTCTTTTTTGTCTCTTTGAGACTTACTTTGCTCTCTTTGCATAACTTGTGAATTTTTTTGTTGTTGTTGCATATAGACATTTCAAATAATAATGTAGTAACTCTGGAAATCAGATTTTTCTCCATCTCCCAGATTTTTTTGTTTGTTTTTCCTTTTAACTGTTGTAGGCTGTGTCCATGCTGAACTTTAATGTCTCCTCAGTGTTTTCTGTGCCTTTGCATGGGTATGTACAGTCACTTTCTATTTTTTCCCACACATGTAATTGTCTTTTACGTCTGGCGCCTGAGAAGGGAAAAAGTGAAACATGGGGGAAACATGGTGCCAGTCTTTAAATCCCCTGGAAGTTGCTTCAGCCAAAAGGGGAGGTATTTGCAACCATGGAAAAGGGAAGCAATGCAAAAATGATGCATCTCTTCAATCAGAAGCAGCAGCCATTGGTCACAACACAGACCCTCAGTGTTCGGAAGCCCTTCTTTCCATACATTGCTTGCAAGCTGTTACAGGACATTGTGCACAGGTGGCTACCATGCACGGCTGGAGGTAGTTGCTATCATCCTCATAGCTGATAGTGAGCAAAATTCACAATTACTCTCCAAATCTTCCCTTGGGATTTGCAAGACTTCACTAGAGTCCAGAGTTCCAAAATACTACATCAAACGTTCTGTCAATGCAGCTATTGTCTGGATGGAGAGTCAGATTCCTAGTGCTTCCTATTTTGCCATCTTCCAAATATTCCAGCATCTTATCAAATAAATGGCATAATGCCATCTGACCCAGAAATTGTACCTTAGATATTTCTGCAACAAAATTGAAAATATATCCACAAAAAGGCATGTATAAAAATGTTCGTATTAGCTACACCCTAAGAAGCCAAAAACTGTGTCCATCAAATGAGACAGAATAAACCCACATAATAATACTCCAAAGAGAAATTGATACACACATCAATGTAGCTCAAACACCGTGTATGAAAGAAGACTTAAGAGCATACTGCAATTCCACAAATGCAACATTCTGAACAGCAAAATTAAACTATGGTAAGAAAAAATTGGTTTTCTTGTGACATGGGGTGTTAGAAATTAACTGAGAAAGTACATGAGAACTTTCTGGGATTATGATAATGTTCTGTATCTTGGTAAGAATTTGGACTATAGAAACATGTGTATGTCAAAATTCATCTCATTGTTTTACTCCCAATGAACACAAATGTAATAAAAACTGTATGTATGTTTATATATACACACACATAAATGGATGATATATATGTTAAAGTATTTCACTTATGTCCTTTTACTTTGAAATATATTTTTAAAATAAAATGAATTAATGGACAGTGATGGTTAATGGATACAAATGTGATGAAAGCAAGTAAAGTAAAATGCTGATATATACACATATATCCATGTATATGTACATATACAGCTGTTTGAACATATGGTGGTCACTGAAAATCTTCCCCTTATTTGTATAGTTGAAATTTTCAAAATAAAATACTGAGGAAGGAAACAAAAGGCAGAGCAATGCATGTAATCCCCAGTATAAAACTGAAAGATTTTAAAAATGTTAATATATTATCTAGGCAGAGATAAACTTTTCCTTTAAGTCTACAAAAAATTACAGTAAATCCACAATAGAATGTCAAGTTAAAGCCAGTCACAAACAGACCAAAAAAATAAATCTATTTTTATGAAAAGCAGAGATAAGGCAAATCTATTAAAGATGTAGATTAGTGGTTATGTGGGGTTGGTGTGGTGGAAGGGATGGGGAACAACTGCTGAGTTTGATATTACTTTTTGGGGTGATGAAAATGTTTTAAAGGCAGATTGTGTGATGGTTACATAACTGAATATACTAAAAAACACTTAATTGTTTACTTTCAATGGGTGTATTACACAATTACATTGTGTAATGTATGACAACTACTATCTTAATAAGCTGAGTTAAAAATAGAAAGCAATAGTTACCTTATGAGAAGCTAAAAAGGTAAAGATATTTTATGTCTTTAGATAAAATGCTGAATTACTGTCCATGAAAAAATTTTAATATACAAGAAAATAATTGATAGTACACGCACACACAAAAAATAAGAAGTGGGTTGCCTGAGGAAGTCTGGAGGTACTAGCCAAGAGAAGGGACCTCTTTCCAGTGTTGGAGAGAAGTCTGTTAAAACTGGTGCATCTTAGCAGTTAGGGTAGGAAATTTTTTAGTGTAGCTGATCACCTCATCTTCTGCTGAAATTAAAGCAGAATGGTGCTGTAGTAAAGGACTTGAATTGTGTAATACAGATGTAAGACTAGTGAGTGGAAATGTAAAAACTGAATTTTTGTTTTTGTTTTTGCAAGAGAGAGTAAAATTCAGTCTTTTAAGTTACGGGGCATAGATATTTGCTAATTATTTTGCTGTGCAGTGATCACGACTCAGAGCAATTTGGAGTCAGGATCTTGCTTCAATCCTAAGTAGTTGTGTGACCACTCAAGAAATTACTTCCTAGCTCTGAACCTCAACTGATTTACCCTTAAACATAAATGGGTTTAACAACTTATAACTAGGATTATTGTGAAAGATTAATGATAACTGTAAAGTTCTTCAGTAATACAAGCATTTGACAAATACTGTGACATTCATTCATACTTAAGCCACTGCTGTATAGAGTAACTCACCACAGTCTAAATAAATAAGATTTTAGGTTGCCATGTGGCAGAATCTGTGCCAACAGTTTATAGCAGTACTCTATGTATTATCATTACTTGCATTTTAAAAACGAAACTGAGGCTTAGAACAAGAACCTTTCCCAAAGGCAAACCACCAATAAGTGGCAGAATTCAAATGATCCCAAGGGTCTCAGTTTTCAAGTCCATGGCCTCAGATGGCTGGCTAGACACCACGCCTGAAAAACTACAGCAAGTACAAAAGGTGCCAGAGCTGATACCCATCCCAGTTCTGAGGCCTCATGGCATCTGCTAGTAACAAGTTTGACTCAAAAACTTGATTAATTTCAAAAGAAGTGGGTTAAATTACGAGATTAGACACAGAAAATTTGAACAACAAAGGCTAAGACCATGGACAGAAAGAGTATCAATCAATAAAAATTGTTCTATTTAATCAAGAAGTGGCATATGCAAGTCCCTATAAGGGACTTTTGGTGTGAGGAGCAGTGTGCAGCATCAACTTGCTAAAGAATCTGCCTTTTCAAGAATAAATTATACAATATGTATCATAATCACAAAAAATAAAATCACAAATTATGATTCCCCTTAGCTATTCCATGGTTTAGTCTTGGTTTTTCAAAATAAGTTTAATATGAGCTTGATCTAACAGGAGCCACCAGGATGCATTATTGACATAAAAATCTGGGAAACATAAATTTAACCATACATTTAATTTGCCTCCCTTATTGTAAATATTTACCCATGAGCAGAAGACAATGTCATGCCAAGGATTGTTAACACTGAAATTCTCTTACATTTCTTCAAATGCTAAAATCTGATTCTAAGTTTCTTCTCCCTGCAATTTACCAAGAAGGTGATCTTTAGATGCTATAAATGGCTGTTTTGAAATACAAAATGGGTGAATTAACAGGATCCCCCCCCCCGCCAATTGAGAGTTCAACTAAATATGAAACATTAACTCCACATGGCTCCAAATCTGATGTGATTCAATTAATCGAGATCACACCTAAATCAAAAGCTTTACAAATAAATTATCCCATGAAGATTAAAGAAGACATTTCTTTAATCACATCGTAGTATGGTCTATGTCCCCTCCACTTGAATTTGAGCAGGCTCTGTGATCTTTTAAACAAAATATGACCAAAAAAATTATGATGTCCTGCCAGATTAGGGCCCAGGCAATCTCCACTTCCGTCTCTTAAAACAATCATTCTTAGCACCTAGCTGCTACACTGTGAGGAAGCTCAAGGAGTCCCATGAAGGGGCTCCCATCCTGAACTGAGTCTTTGGCTGAACCCTAAGCCAATAGCCATTACCCACTCGCCAGTCACACGAGTGAGCCATGTTTGAAGTGAACTCTTCTGCCACATTTGAGTAATCCCAGTTGACATTTGAGGAGCAAAGACATGACATTCTTGCCAAGTGCTATCCAAACCGTAGGTGTGTGAATAACAATCATTGTTGCTTATGCCATTATATTTTGGAAAAGATTATTACATGGTAATAAAGATTCCCCAACCCCACATGCCCCAAATCATTAACTGATTTTCTCAAGAAGCAAGTCTGAATATACCAACCCCACTGCCTCTCAGCTAAGTTGACCAAATCTATTACTGGTATGTTTCAAAAAAGGCTAAACCCAAGCAAACAAACAAAACAGCCAGGCGCCTGAAAACTCTTCACTGCTTCTTTATTAGGATGCACCCACAGTACAGAACCTCTCACACACCTGTGAAAGGGGAAGGTTACATTTCCCTTTGGGAGCACCTTCATTTTTGTTTACCACTTTGAAGAAAATAAATCATTTTCAAAGAAAGACATTTTAAATTCCAAGTGTTTCAAGTGTCTAAGACTCAGCTTGCATTTTGTTGTGTTTGAAAAGGAAGTCACATATTTTAGCCAGAACTGGATGATTGTTTTGTGGCATTGAACTTCGATGTGAATCAAAAGTCTTTACTGCCTGACTGAATCAGTCTATAATTTTCATATGCACCTTTTCATATCAAAAATGTTTCATTTTTATCTCTACCCACAAAGATGCTGCTTTAAAAAAAAAAAAAAAAACAGGCACACACACAAATGAATTTGAAACCAATAATGAAACACAGCATTTCTAACAGGGAAAATGAACTTTTGCTGCCCTCTCCTGCTAAAACAATGAAATACTAAAATACCAAAAGATTTATGAAGCTAAAGTGAAATCCTCAAACCAAAAACAATGGATATAGCATTCTCATTATACCTCAATCAAAAATCAGACAACAACCAGAAAATGTATTGGTAATATTTATATTTGAAAGTTCCCCATTAATACATGAGGTTGGATTACAACTTATTTACAGTTAAGTGATTTGAAAAAAAGTAGAGAAAGAAAAGGGAAGGAAGGAGAGATGGATGTAGGAAAGGAAGCAAGGAGGGAAGAAGGAAGGGACAAGAGAGGGAGGGAAGAAAAGGAAACCTACAGTCATAGACATCATAATATGGGATGTTTATTTCCAAGAGATAGTAATGCTGCTATCGTGCACAAGAAGCAGCACAAATTAACATTCCACTAGATCAAAATTGGCTCAACTTTCTCTCAAGATGCACAATCCTTTAAGATTTTCAAAATTAAATACTGAGAAATATAAAATGCATTGCCAATGTATCTACTACAAAAATCCTTTGTATGGCTCATTCCTTAACTCTAGTCAGAGAAGCAGCTGAGCCGGAATATAAAAATAAAAATATTGATGTGCAAATAAAACATCACTGATCATGTCTGGTGCTACCTTTTTACCATAGGTAACAATCACTTTGTAATAACATTGGTAATAGCATCAAAAGAGAAAAATCTCTTCCTTTCCTGGGCCAGGTCAGTGCATCCAATTAAAGGGGGGAAAAATAAAAGAGGAGGCAAAAAAAAAAATACCCTAAACTCCAAACACTTAAAAATGCCAATAATCTTCATACATCTTCCCTCTCCCACCCCCCAACCCCCACAAAAAAATAAAAAAGCCTTTAAAGCTCTAAATATACTTTTTTCTTTTCATAGTGTGATTGAGCCTAGGCCTATACATTGAAGTATAGCAGGTGCAATTACAAGCAATGCCTGGTTCTGCACCCTGGACTGTCCCACGCATAGAAGGAGGTACAAAATAAATGAAACCCTTCCATTTAGGCAAGCAAGCCCAAGATGAAGGAGCATAACCCTGCTTGTGAGTATCCAGCGGCATTGAGGGTATTATTTTATTTCTTACTTTTTAGGTTTTTTAACTTTATTTTATAAAAAACAATCAGATGTTAGGAAGAGCAAAAAATAATTAAAATTTAAAAGGACATAAAATGAAACACTGAAGGAAAGCGTCTGGGACACTTGCACAGTGAGAAAAGGAATGCATGCTCGATTCAAGTGAGGTGAGCATAGTCACTCACGTGGTGGTTCCAGGCCCACGGCCCGAGGCCTCGGCATCATTCTAAACCACAGGGTCAGTTTGCTTTTTCTTCCACATACACTCTTAATCCTACCCCTGAAACCAATATGGCAGGGATAAGGGTGGAGTGAGCATCACTCATTAACTACAATATTTGCTATTTTAAAAATATATTTATATATAGTTCTGGAAATTAAGAAGCAAACAAAATATAACACAAAGATGCATTTGTCACAACTCACTCAAGCTGCAGCAACAGCAGACTTGTGGAACAGGACAGAGAGAGAGGGCCGCTGCAAATGCAGCAAGTACGTCCTTATACATGTCACATAGTGCAACAGTCAGATTACCTCAGTTACTCTGCGTCACCGGACACAACATGACAAATGTCACATTGTCACTTTCAATTAAAAAAGGAAAGACAGCGTTTCTTCTCAGAAGTTGCATTATCAATTTTAGACCTAAGCCTATAAATCATTTCTTTTAAGTATGTCTAAAATTGCGCTTTACTCTTCTCAGTATGGAATGATCAACATCTAGAATTGACATTGAGAGTGTCGGCGTAGTTCTCACCTTCACTCTGAGGACAGGGTAAGGTGCATAAAAGGGATCTTGGTCTTTCTCATTTCAAATGACTGCATTTCATTCTAATAAACAGAGATATCATAAGCCTGTGATTTTAACGTCCACTATCTAAAAAGGATCAATTAATGGCGAACAAAAGTTTGTACTGTTAAATGAGTGTAACAGCGTCAAAACTAATGAGCTAGTATCAAAAGAGCTCAAGGAAATGATTTACTACAAATTTATTCTTTATCTTTAGCATTTGAACTTGCACCTTTGCTCCAGCACTTTTTAAGTGAGTCGTTTCATCTTCGGCAGCCTCTGCCAACTTTACACTGAATCCCCATTAATGTTCTCTTAAAAGTATCTATTAATTCCATTAAACCATGTTGTGTTTGGTGTTGCATAAGACTCTTTTACTGCTGTTTCTTTTTCAGAATTAACAATGCCAAGTTTTGTTTTTTTTTTTTTACAAAGTTATTGAGATGACAATATCCATAATTAGCTTACTTTTACACACAAACTGTGACCTGATAATCCTGAAACACTTAATAGAGGAGAAGTCAGTGGCTTTTTGTTTTCCTTTTTCTCAGAAACAATACACTGCATATTCTATTTCATGTGTAAATGGAAGAAAGAAAATATACAAGCCCATATTGATATTGCATTTCTATTAAGAGCAACAGCAGTTCATATGTTCATGTTTGCTACTAGCACAATTCAACACATGAACACAGAATCAGCTCTATACCACGAATACTGTTGGAAGTGATGGTTTAGGATTATCAACTCACTGTTGCCATGTCCATAACAAGCAAAAACATCCTGGAAATAAATCCCGAAACACAAATCTCTCAGTACATAATAATGCAACTGCATTAAATAAGTACATACTGTACACAAGTTTTATCAGCATTTTATCTCCCCAAGAAGTAAGATTCCTCTTTTAAATACAAAGCAGAGAGCCAATAAGATATATCTATAATACAGCCCTAGATTTTGTTTTTTGTTTTTTTCTTAAACAATTTGGTCACAATGCACCTTTGATATAAAAGCATTTTTAAACTTTATTAATACTCAGGACATTAGGAATTTCCAGATTTTTTCAGTAGCATTTGTAGAACCACTTTTGGTAACAAATACAGTAGTTAGGAATACGCATCCAATTCAGAATGCATAATAATGTTTATCCTGAATCCTTTCTGGCTAAAAACAGGGCTGGCGCTGTGATGAAATATAGAACGAGAATCTACAAAAAACACTGTAATATGTTTGTTTGTTTGTTTGTTTTCCCAGAGGCTACATCCTCTTTTGCTGGAATACTTTATAAATACATATTAAAAAGTAAGGCAACAACTCCAAACAGTCCAAGCTGTTTGCTCAACTCTATTCCCAATTAGATTCGCAATCCTGGCGATCAATTTCATGGTTGTCTATTTAGTGTTTATCTTTCTTATTTCAAAATGGTCCAAAAGGATGAGATCTGACATTTCTAAAACATCTCTGGCATGTGTGTTCAATGATGTACGCAACTAATACTGGTCAGGTACTGAAGCCTATGATGACCCAGTGCCTGTTTTCAAAGGATTCAAGACATTGATTTGGATTCACTAGGAACTGATGCATGAATCCAAAATTCCCTTCCCTACTACGTTTATCACCTCTTCTCTTTTACTCCTAATTTTAAAACTAAAGGAGTACCAGGACTCCCTGGCTACTGGAAAGATGTTCACACCAGTAAACAAAACTTTTGTTAGGGACCTTTATAATTCATGGCCCCATTCCATGTGGACATTCATCTCATGAAGATGTGCAAAAGGAAAAGATGTCAAATTACAGTCAAGTTATCCAGAGAATGTTATACAAACGTATAAGGAAATGACAGTCTTTTTTTTTCCTTTACTATAAATACATTTAACAGTTTTAGCAGAAAGACAAGCTAAATTTAAGAATGTTCACATTTGAAAACTGTTTCATACTCTCTGCTAATGATAAATAAGGAACTCCTGATAATGAAATTTTAACATATAATTTCATCAACAGATCTTTGAAGATTGCTTTTTTTTTTAACGAGGGTTAGAACAATGATTAATGTTTGCAAAATTCTGAGAAGTCCATCTACTGTCCAAACTTTGGATTGAAGTCCTTATTTTTTTTCCCTTTACTTAGAGACAGGTATATACAGTGCTGTTGTAATAATGAAACAATGTGAAATCTACTGTAAAGTTGCACAATACAGAAAACTGTTGCTCCATCTTCTACTACATAAATGTGTGACTCCACAGGTTAGTAATGTTGTCATTATTTTTGTTAAGTTGGAATTATCCCATCACGTCTAAGACCTCTCTTTAACTCCAGATCCTCCAGTTTTTTCCATAATTCTTCACGCTCCTTTTCTTTCTTTTTCTCACTGGGGAAGAAACAGAATATAAGGTTAAAAAAAAAAAAGGAGAAAGTTTAGAGATTATCCTATAATAACTGTCCCTTTCATATACTTTTCCCCGGGGTGCATTTTTAAAGGTCTTTGAAACAATTGGCATTAAGTTTATAGGTGTTTTTTCTTTTTGATGTTCCTCTTTTTGACACTTATGTCAACAAAAAAGAAGTATTAATGAACAGAATAGGAGATGAGACTACCTTAAGATTTCACACTAGTATTCCTTTATTTATTGTTTAAAAAATAGTGATTTCAAAATCACTGAGCAATAAAAACAGGTCTTTTATATCTCTTGTCTTAAAACCAGCAACACATTAGTGATTTTTACTTGGAGAGTAAATCTAATTTTATCTTTGCTTGCAAAGAGTTTCTCAACACAGATGCTAAAGATGACAAGAGAATATACTTCCCCTTTATCAAATTTTTTTCCCTTCACTATATGGATTTAATCTTTTTAGGAGAATCTTGTACTTAACAGGTACTAATAGACCATAAAATTTAAATTATTAATTTATACCTAGCTATATAACCAAATTAAACTGTCTTTTTATTGTAACCCTTTTTAGTGATCTGGACAGAACTTCATCAATAATATTATATATTAATTTTTTAATGTTTCAAGCCTTCAAATCTAGCTTAATATCAATCTGAGTAGTAATTTACAGACTTTCAGATTGTACTGCCCAGTAATTTGCCAAACAATTGAATGTCCAAAATAGGGTAAGCAAATTCCATTTTGCCAAAGACTTGTCTTTTTATATCAAGATTACTGTCTTGATATAAAATAAAAGCTGATATTAAAGAAAGCTGTTAATTGTGACATCAATCATGTTCAGGAAGCACATGATCCAAGAAACCAAACTCTACTATAAGTTAAATAAACCTACATTTAATGAAAGTAATTCACGGCACTGTCCCTAGCTTTCTCATGTGGTGATGAAACCATAAGAACAGACCAAGGTGGCATCCATAAAGTCAGCTAATTTCTGAAATCAGGGACTCTGACATCTCCAGCATGGGGGATATGATCCTTGTGTTACCTCCCCTCCAAATGATTTAACTTGAACTACTGTTCAGTATTTACTTAGGGAAATCCATACAGATGAAATGCAACCTGCAGATAATCCCAGTCTAATGTTTTTATGTCATCACCGAATTTTAGAAGTTAACAATTATCTTCATTCTCCCTTCAAAACTCTACAGAGAAACCAAAGTGATTTTATATATCTTATTTTACCATAGTCAGAGGAAATAGTTAAGCATATACTATGGTAACCAGTATTATCTTTTATATTAAAGGTCTGGTAATTTAAGCCTTGTTTAGTATAATTATCAATAGTTTCAGTTATATGACATGCAATCTGTGCAATATAAATTTCAGCAGACATAACAGTTTTTCAAACAATTATCTCCACGATCAATTATGACACTGAAAAATTATGTTTACAGGACAGGAGGAGTAAGATTATATACTCCTTTAATAATTATAGATTTCTGATTCTTAATGCAAACAAACAAGTTGTTTGGGAAAAATTCATTTTTGTTTTGCTCTGTATAGTTTGGGGATAAGTATTATCAGAACCCTGATTGGGTACACTAAGGAACTTCATTCAATTGCCCTTCCTGGTGGCCCAGTGGATTAAAGCTCAGCACTACGAAGCTAGCTGTAGCTGCTTCAGCATTAGTTCAATCCCCGGCCAGCACTAGTTCAATCATTTGTCACAGCACCTCTCCTGCCTTGCCCACCCGCTGCTCCCCTCAGCGGTCTACTTCGTCAATCTGCCTGTTCTGCTCCCCACTCTGTCTCTGGTGAATCCTCTTGCCACTCCTGTACCTTTAGCCTGTATCCCATTTCTGTATGCTTAAATAATAAATCTTAAAAACACAAACACACATATTAAACACACACTAGGTTCATACTGCCCTACTTTGCAGTTCAAATTAAATAGTGACAATAATTAAGACAGATCATCCAGTTATTGAAGCATTTCATCCTAACCTTTAATGGAGAGTTTTATGGCATTCAATGCCATCTGTCCCATGGGGCTTTTCTTCCAGATGAACTTTAGGCTGTTTTATCATACATCTTTTCTACTGACAACTTTATCTTCAAAAAATCTAAATATTTCTGATATAGTTACTGTCACCCCCATTCTTTCCCACTTTTCTCTCTCCCTGTAGGTGGGAATTTTAAAACTTAACCATGTTGTCATGATAGAGATTACTGTCAAATTCTCTTCCAATTTCAGTTTTACATAGCGCTAGTGTCAGCATATGTAGTTACTTATTCCACCCACCACTTACAGATTTGTAATATTGAAAAATCTGATCTGAACTGAAAACCGTTACTAACTTCATAAAATCCTCCACTCAAGTCTCCTTTGATGGCACCAGACAAGTCCTTGTTTTCTCTTTTTCTAAGCCCACATCTGTGGAAGAAACTCACGTCTCCATCTACTCAGCACACCTTCCACTGGTCATCTGACATATATTATCCTTCTCTCATTAAGAAAGTTTACTCATGTCAGTCCCATCATCAAAGTCAATGTCACAATTTCTATTCCTGGTCCCCTGGGTTCTTTTATTTATTTTTTTTTTTCAAGTGTTTGGTCTATTTTGCTTAAATAGTAGGTGGCCAGAAAACACAGTTCTACAAACAAAGTTCAGCATATACCAATGAACTAAATTCAATTTAAATATTTCAGAAATAAGATCTTCAATATTTCTAATAGGATCCTATAGATTAATTCCTGGTTCAACTGTGATGATGATAATGATGATGGACTTTCAGTACATAAAGAAAGGACCTTCCTGGTACATCGTAGTATGAAAATATTCCCTCACCTCCAATTTTTTAAGATTGTAATTTTACCTTGGAGCAAGAATGGTACATAACTGTACATCTGTAATACCTGTACACATAATAAATTAAATGGTGTTTAAATTGTACAACCTAGCCCTTAATTGATATTTATACCAATACTATGGTTAAAAAAAAAAGACTCAGCCTCTTCTGTCTATAGCTAAATATTTGCCATGTCTTATAAATATGCTGCTGATTTCAATGTTTCATATTCTGGTAATTAAAAACCACTATGTTGGTACTTGGTCCCTGCCACCAAACCTTTCCCGTCACTGTTTTCTGTTTTGTTTTGTTTTTAAGTCAGTGAAATGCAAGTAGCATGTTCAAAAATCAGGCAAAGCAAAGCAACTACAGAAAACTTTGCTCAGGAGTCTTGGGGTGTGAACATTTACACTCTTCTGGGACATATGAGTCTATAAAATAGAAAAGTTAACAATTTACTTCTGAATGGCCAAAAGAGCGGGCTATTTCTCTAGACTTTCTTCAGCCTCTCCAAATACATCAATACCATGATATAAACACTTAGGGAGCACGTAAGTTCATATGTGAAAATCCTAACTCATAGAGGTGATAGCATGGGGTGGGGGGCCCTTTGGGAAATGAGGGTACAGCCCTGAGGGGTGGAATTAGAGGTGCTGTGCCCCTCCAAGCATGAGGACATGTGAGAAGGTGCAAACTACAGACCACAAAGAAGCCCTCAGCCAACTACACAGCCTCCTGCTTTGGGACATCCTGCTTGTTAGAACTGTGCACAGTAACATTCTGCCATCTGTAAGTCACCCAAAAGAGACCCTTTAAGTGGCATTTTGTTATAGCAGCCAAACACACTGAGACATCTTTTAAGAACAAGAATGTTTCTAAAAGAAATAATGAAATTGAAGAATCTCGTAACTGAAATCAAGAGAGGCTTTACTATCATGTAAGCATTTATTGTAAAGGACTCAACTGGTTTTTGCTCTCTTTTGGTCTTAAATTTTCCAGATCTGTATAGCCAGGTGCTTCAACTCCATGTCCTTTACTGCCTTTTGAATTGTCATGAATTCAGAGGGCTGAGAGTAGACAGTAATTTCTGGGTCAAATTGCGAAACAAAAATGTGCCTCATTCCTCCTGCTACTGGAATGCAGGACAAGAACACCCAAATTTTGCTTCAACATGTTTCGAATAGGAGCAAATACAAATGACAACTACCTGATAGTCCCCATAAGTGGCTCTGAAATACCAGTTATGTGCCAGGCTCTGAACCCTAACACAGTAGAGAAACATTACTGAACGGAAGAAGGAAAGCCTCCTTTTACAAAAATGACACTGCTATCCAGTAGCACATTAAGAAAGACACAGCTAATGAGCATGCAAAAATGAACACAAAAATAAATAAAACTATGTGCATAAGATTTCTGTGTGCAATTGGGCAACTTCAGCAAAGAGAAAGGAAAAACGCAATAGTTTTATTATGCACAGTTGACAAAAATAGCTTTAAAAAGTTACCGCTGACGATCTGACTTGTATGTGGCTGTCAGCTCATCAAACATGGTGCTGTTCATTTCCATAAATGCCTTCAATACATTGTACACTAATGCCACGATAGCCCTGGGAAGCACAGAGACAAAGGATGGTGTTGGTTAGTGATATACAGAAGGACAATAGGGCGCGAACAAAGAGAAAGCACCACCTTTGTGTGGATGAGCTTCTCCTATTGCATACTGACTGCCATCCCTTTTTAGCTGGAAAACTTGAAATGACCTGCAGTTCATTTCCATATCAAGGGAGTCATTCTTCACTATTCAAGGCAAGCTATCTTTCTAAGGGATTGGCAGGGTTAGAAAAAGAAAAATCTAATTATACCCTTCTAACAGTCAGCAGCCAGTCTAGACTGCCCTGTGGTACCTATGCCCTGCCAAACCCAAAGACCTGAGAACGTGGCAGATGCATGACCAACTCTCTGTAAAGGCTCCTCCCATCCCATCCACCTGCCGATTTTAAGATTCACTTTGAGTATCACCACCTCCATCAATACCCACAAACCTCTTCTGCTCCAGAGCACCCCTTTAACTAGCTGTTATACCTCACAGACAGGTTAGGAAATCCTTAAACATATTTCAACACAGTAGCAATTAATGTACTATTTTGTAAAAAAAAAAAACTATCTGAGTGTCCCAACCCATTAGAGAATTTCTAAAAGGTATAATTTTTTTCTTCAGCAACAAGCATAATATCTGGCACAGAGCAAACATTCAAGATACTTTATTAGCAAAAAAAAAAAAAAAGCCAGAAAGAATGCCAAAGGAAGATGGGAGAGAGGGAAGGAGAAAGGTTGGGACAGAGGACGGGAAGGAAGGACGGAAGGAAGGAGTAAAAACTTACGGATTCCAATGTTCTTTTGAAATCCTATAAAGACTGGAAAACATGATGGGAAGGATGACATTTGAGTTTTCTTCTATCAAACTCATGATGTATTCATTATTCCAATAATAGAGTGCCCTTTCTGCCACCTTTAAGAAAAGGACAAAGATAAAACAAAATAATAATTTCTCCAAATTAAAGCAAAAATTTTACATTAAATATAAAATTAAATATTAATTTCATTTTAATTAAATACTAAAAGCATTTTTGTGGATTTAAAATCGTTCAGAGAGTTCCAAGGTGGTTCATCAACTTGGGGAAAGAAAAGAAATTCCCTACCTGTTTGTTGATAGTCTCCTTTGATACTGCCCACTTGATCTGACCCACATCTTCTCTCTGCCGCTCTCAAAGACCACGCCTCTTCACCTACTTCTATATGCTGCTCTGTCCCCACATCATTTTAACCTCCTTCCCGATTCACCTCTTTTTGCCAAAACAATTCACACCAAGCCCAGGGCCCAGTGAGAGGCTGCACTGAGCATTAGCTGCTGAGGAAGCCCTGTCACAGTGGGCCTTTACCAGGCCCAGCCTTACCAGGCCAGAGCGAGAGGAGTGCGGAGCCCTCTGTACAGAGAAGGACGTGAGGCTCAGGGGGACTGGTGACCTTCAGCTGTATGTGTTCAAGGGAGCCCCACAAAAGAATTTGTTAAAACAAACATCAAATGTAATATAAAATCATCAAAATCTTAAAAAGGACAAAATTCTTTAAAAATGTAATTACATGGGAAAAGGAAAAGAGTGGTTTCTTTCATTCGTATAGATGAAGAAATGAAGTTTTAACTTAGTAATTAAAATTGAAATTAAACTGATCTAATTTCAAAAGATGGTGCAGGGTGCACCCTCTAAGAGATTCTGAGCATTAGAACCCTTATATTTACATCACTCAGCTTGGTTCCAAAACTCTCCAGGCATAAGGCACTACTTTGTCCTAGAGTTTAAGTATAACAAACAAAATCACTGCTACATTTGTCTTGTCCTGGGGAAGGCATCGTCCTGTTTCATACACATTTAATCACTGTTAGGATCTAACCATCTTGTAATCACCACAACCAAAGTTCGGAGTAGGCACCATTATTTGTCATGTAGATGAGGAAACTGAGGCTCAAAGAAATACACCCTCCAGGCCACAAGCGGTAACCTCCAAAGTCCCTGCTCTTCTCTACCCTGTTATCCCACCAGGTTCCTGTGCCAGTGGGGGACGGGGCACTCAGGAGCTGAGCCTCTGCGAGCTGTGACAGGTGCCGTGTCAGAGGCAGCGACCAATGCCGAGCTCCGAGCAAAGAGCAGGACAAGCGACCCAGTGACTGTGGGGAGAGGAGTGGCAGGCATGTGGCATTTAAGCTGGGCTTTGAAGGATGAAGGGAGGAAGGGGCGGCATTCTGGGCTGAGGGAAAGACAGCACAAGGCGCACAGGCACCAACATGGCCACAGTGTCTGGAGACCCCTCACCCCTGGCATGGCTGCGGCAGGTGGGGCGCACTGGCAAGGAAAGGGACGGGGAGGAGGAGGAACCGGGGTGCTCTGAAGCTTACAATGGAAGGGAAGTTTTTAAAATGTATTTTATCAGCGAGACTGAACTTTCCTTCACGTTTGTTTAGTCCACTTCCAAAATAAGCTATGAAAATGTCTCACAAGAAGCCACAGGGCACAGGATATTAGAACTGATAAAGCTCTACTAAGTTTTTTGGTCTAGCTCCTCTGTTTGTAGGTGAACTCACTGAGGTCCAAACAAAGGAGGCGTGCAAACAGAATCAAAAACCTCACTGAAGAGGACAAGGCTTCAAGTATGGTGTCAGGGAGTTTGGACGCGAGCACAGGAGGATGCTGCCGAACAAGGAGGGACCCTGGCTTGTCCTTAATCCAGCTATGACTCTACCATTCACCTGCTACTAAACAGTCCCTGCACAGCTCCTTGTTAATTTGAGTTATCACAAAAAGGAAGTCAATACCAAACCAAGCCCCTTTAAGAGGAAAGGTGCTACTTACACAGAGATTAACATGTCTGATATTACTGTCCTCAACACAGTGTCTCTAGCATGAGCCCTCTGAGCCCAGCACCACACCTGGCGATATGCATCTGGCTGAACAGAGTGGCACTCAGTGAATGTTTACTGGATAAACCAGTGACCATGTCATGAATAAATAAATAGGAACCCCTTTGCTGTCCTGTGATTTGGACCTTTAGTGAGACAGCCAAAGGATAAAACCTAAGGTGTTTTCACCCCAGATCCCCATCTCCTCTCCAGTGTGCACCAGCAGAGTTGCCCTGGCTCACTTTCCTTGTGCTCTCCCAGACTGACCACTAGGCGGCAGAGCAGCGCCACGGGACAGTCACAGTTCTCACAAGAAGCCGCAGCTATTAACTCCACTCCTATTAACTTGGGGCGTGAACAAATCGCTCTCTGTGCCTAATTATTGTTTTAATCTAGAAAATGGTGGTAGGAGTGGATAGGAGGAAGTCTCATAATATAACTTAAAGTTTTGAAATAATGTATAGGCAAAGCACCTAGTACAGTGCAGAATATTGGCGCTCTTTCATTCAGAAGCTTCATTTAGCATTTTCTCTTGAACCACACCAGTCCTCACCTTTTACTCAAGTTATTTTACCCTTCTGAGGTTCAGTGTTCACCCTGTACAAATTTTTCTTCTGAGGTGATCATAAGAAATAAAGTTACTGGGAAGAAAACACCACAGTGCCTGTCACGAGGCAGGTGTTTGAGAGCAAAGTGGCTATTGTTACAAGTGCTATCATGTGAGAATAAAAATCAAAAGGTACCTAGTGTCCATTACATTCATTTCCATACAAATTTTACCAAAATGAGACATGCCATGCAGGTGTCTCTGGATCCTATTCTTCATTACTAACCTGAAAATGGGGGCTAGATACACACTTGGCAATTTGTTTAAACAAAGGCTCTTGAATTTTAACAAATTGTGAAGGTTCAATCACATCCAATATTTCTTCCAGCTCCCCAAGGAACATCACCTGTAAATACATAAAAAACATAACATGTCAGACACTTTGTTGAGAAATCCCTACTAATGATGTGAATTAAGTAGTAAAGTTTGTACCGTTTTAAGAAAAATGTATACATAAAGCCAACCGTGCAAAAAATCCGGCAAGATCTGATGTTAGGAGCTTGCTTCACAAAGATGGTACTTATTAAGAGGAAATTTCCTAAAGAATTGAAAATATGATTCTATTAACCTTGGGAAGGTACTCTCTGTGCTGTAACTACAACACAGAACAAAGGGGGTGTATGCTCCGCAGTGGGGCCTGCAAAACAGATCAGCCCTGGGGGCTCCCCTATCCGTCATATCAGCTGCCTCCCCACCCCACACCACTATATTCTGGAAACAACAAAGAGTGGTCCTACGGCAGAGATCGCCAGCGTCCACAGTGCACATGCAGATTCTCCAAACCGTCACACCCCAGCTTCTGTGCCAGCGCTTCTCTCAGACACACCAGACAACAGAGACGGTAGGAGAAACACAGAAGAGCAGATTCACCCACAATAGGTACCACTTAAAATACTAACACACATGGCCCTCCCTGGTGGCACAGTGGGTTAAAGCACAGCACTGAGAATCTAAAGCCGCTTCCGCATGAGTTCGATTCCCGCCTGCCCCGGAGGTGACCACATGGTGTGGCAGACCTCTCCTGGCCCGCCCGCTGCTCCCCTCAGCAGTGTACTTCGTGGATCTGCCTGTTCTGCTCTCCGCTCTGTCTCTGGTGAAGCCTCTCACCGCCCCTGAGCCTCTGGCCGGTACCCCAGTTCTGTATGCACAAATAAATAAATCTTTAAAAAAAAAAAAATACTAACACACGCCCACCCACTTCTTACACCACACACATGCAAACCGGTCACTACAGAGCACTATGAATCTTGGGGCTTTGGCATTCTGCACCTCACAAAACAGCCTGTAGAAGGCAATGGTACCAACTCAATTGTACAGTCAATCTCTTTCTCCCTGGTGGCCCAGTATTTTGGGGTTAAAGACACAACACTATCAAGCTATCACCAGTCAGTGTGACATGAGTTTCATCCCCTGCCAGGGAGCGAACCCACAGGCATACAGACCTGTCTCACCACTGCTCCCCTCAGCAGTGTATTTCAGTAGATCTGCCTGTTCTGCTCCCCACTCTGTCTCGGTGAATCCTCTCATCCCTTCCACCACCACTCTGCACCTCCAGCCTACACCCCCACTCTTGTATACATTAATAAATAAATCTTAATAAATAAACAAATATAGTAGAAAACTGACAGAGAAATAAAACCTGTTTCGGCATAAAAAAAATAATCACCTTAGAAAAATTATGCAATTAAGATTAATGAAAAATGAAAATTGTTTCATGTCTTGAGCAGCATCGAGGTAAAGATGCAGTTTACCTTTATCTAAAAGGTTTTTTAAAGACTAGACAATTTTTCTGAAATTGTAGTTACTGGAGAATTGAGGCTGATATGAGGAGGGAGATTGTTAAAGACAACTGATCAAGATACATAGAGAAAATTTCTCCCAAATTGTCCCCAAATGTAAAACTTAACAGCTAATCTTTTTTTGTGGGCCGTTTACCACATGGTTTCTACACTTTCAGAAAAGTGGGCTTGGAGCTGGTACCCAAGTAGGCTCACCTCCAAAGAAGAAACTCACTCTCCCATAACAACTTCACAAGGCACATGCCCACTCAGGTCAGAGTTCTTAGGGTCACCTGTGCATAGCTGAAACTGAGGTCTGCTACACATTTTAAGACTGCACACCGAAAGACCCCATCTGTGTTATCCTTTAAAGAGGGTATTTGGGCAAGTTGCTCTAATAATAATCTACAGCAAGATCTCTCCACTATGAATATGGTCACCAAGAAGGTGACAGCAAGAGTTAGACAGCTAGACACCTGACATGGGCTGAGCAGCACAGGGCTAAGAAGTCCAAGGTTCAGGACTCAGGGAGGTAACTTCTGGCCCCGCTCATCCATCCTGGACAGTTTAAGTTCTTTCAAGCATCAATTTCATGATTAGAAAATGACAATACAGGTCCACCTTACAGAGCTGCAATGATTACGTAGAATGAGTGCACCCGCTAGCCCAGTGCTGGGCATTCAGCAAAGTGCCTATGAAACTATGAACAAACTGACACTAAGCACTTACCTCCTTTTGACTACACGTTTTGGGCCAAAACTTCATTAATCCCCTAATAACCTAAAATGAAAAGGAGAAAAAACAAATAGCACTTAATTTTTCATATACTCTCCCATACAAGAGCAGTCTTCTCTGAAGGCTTTTTAAATTATGGGAAAAATACTTACTGGTTCTGTGAGTGAAGGATCTTTCTCCAGAAATTGTACTATACAATACGCCAGCTGGAGAAACAAACAAACAAAAAAGACAAAATTGGAGATACTATCTACTAGGGGCTCAAAAGATGTATTATTAAAACTTCTTAAGAAGTTTCCAGACTCTGGTTTTAATAACTTCACATTCAATTCACTTCAAAACTAAAAATGTGTATGAAGTAAAATAAAAACTACTTTTCCAAGCCAAAGATTGACACTAATAAGACTGTAAGGGGATTTTTTAAAAAGAACACTGGAATATGAGCATTCAGCTAATGAAAAACAGAGGTGAAATATCACATTCTGTATTATTTGGAAAGTATTTCATCTACATAGTTTGTGCTCTATCTCATGGGCTTCCTTTCACTCTTTGCTAACATCAATGGCACTGGATCTTACTGTGGTTCCAAAAGAGTTCTATGGGATGTAGGCACTTATAAAACCTAGCTGATGGCCTGAAATGGGACCAAAGTCATTTCATGAAAAGATAAAAGACTGTACCTGCCAGAGTCAGAACCTGGAGGAGTGTGAAGAGTTCTATGTCTGATGCAAACTCATATCGGTAATAATTCTTTTAAATGACCATGAAATGTGCTATACTATTTCAATAACTATAGAGGCAAGATTTGTAAAAGGGCTCATCCAGATTCTTGGACAAGAAATACACCGCTGAGAAACAACATTTCAATGGTATTCTAAATTAGAAACATATGAACTAATTTTTCCTCGAAACACAGAAATTCACATTTAAAGAGGAACACTTCTCAAAAAGAAAATAAAAATTCACATTTTTATGCAAATGCAAAACATTCCTACTGCGGTGACAAGGGTTCAGGGGGTTGGAAAACTAAAATTAAAATGTGACTAGCAAAATAAAATACCACTAGATCATTTATCTACCACCCCTAGTGACACGCTTAGCATGCAAGGCAGTATTAGTGTGAAAACTAGAAGAGGAGACAAGCCGGGGTGCTTGTTGAAGTGATGGGATTAGCCATCACATTAGAAGATGTGAAAATACTGGTATGTTTGGTTACTTGTGTGTAGCTGAGAAAGAAATGGTAAATGAACCAAAGAGGGGGCAAAAGACAACGACAGACTAAAGCAAATGAGGATGAAACAAAATATTTAAGAACAATTTAAAATGATTGCACTTGTCCAGAAACCTAAATGAACAGACCCACACACAGGCTATGTTCAACATGTGACCTGGGTAGGTCACCTAGGATTCTGTAAAATGGAGTAAGACTCAACAAATGTTCTCCCTCGTGAAAAATGCCCATGATTCTCCTACACATGGAAAAAAAACACAGGTTTTTTTATTTTCCTTGGGAAGTATTTTAAACTTTAACAAATCTTTTTTTTAATGAGTAAAGATGTATATCAAGAAATGTGTAGCATACTAACTTTATTTTGCATCATAAAGTATTTGTACAAAATTCTACCTGCGCATGGAAGAGTGATAAGCTCCTGACAGTGTGTAAAGGGATCAGCACTTTCACCAGAAACTGTTTGTGTTCTGCCTTAAGAGGTAATGCAAAGCCATTGATAATACTAGGAGAAAGAAAAGAGACAGGAATTAGCCATGTTACCACAACAAGTTAAACTGAGCAAACTGTTCTTGTAAGATCAGGTTAAATTTTAATCAGTTTACACTTGGTCCAGAATAACTCAAACCTCACCCCAGTGGCATCCAAGATTTCTTAGTTACTTTAAAAAATACCTATAAGTAGGGAGAAAAACTGAGACAATTTGCATTATGATCTCCCAGCAAAGACTCCTGTGCTCTGCAACCTAGTCAGATGGTCTCCAAACGCTTTTGCATCAAAAACTGTACTTATCCTTCCCTTCAAATAATCACCTTCCTTATTCACTCTCTTATAACCTTTTTCATTTCTAGACCTCTCTTACCCATCTCTGAAATCTCTACTCAGACTAATAGCCAAGAATATGGAGCCAGCCCAGCATCCAGAAGACAACCACAATTCCACCTTCTTTTCCCCTCATATTAGGAGGAAACTCGAAGAAATTGCGTTGTCCAGTCACACTAGCTTCCCCTGCATGCAGAAACCTACACAGCAGCTGTCTCTTTTTATTTCACTGCTCCTGGCAACAGCTGCTCAGAAACTACTCTTGGGTACTCAGCAATCTTTGTAATTTATTACAAACTCACTTTCAAAAAATATGGCAAAGGACAGGTAGTCTAGAAATAAGAATAAAATGTTTTGGAGTAACTGACAATTAGATTCACTGCCTCTGTGATCATGAACAAAATGTTAGCTCTTTCAGTAATTCCAGTAAAATTAGCAATTCGTAACTGTGGAACAAAGGGAACAAGAAATCACTTCTTGTTGAGTCAGCTGGGGAATATGCTCAGCACATGGAAAGGACCCAAAATATGTACAGCCACAAGCTGGGTGGCAGCGTTTGCTGAACCTAATGTCAGATGCTATTCACCTGAGATGAGCAATTAACTAAAAATGTGCTTACCTTCCTAATATTTCCAGCAGTTCAGCTACACCATTGAAGTGTTCCGTTTCATAAACAAACCTTTAAAACAAAAGAATCAAGTCAGTACACTATGTTTAAGTATTTTAGGTTTACTTAGTATTTCTAGAAATCACCAATTTTGCCCCTGACCCTTTACTTACCTTAGAAAAATATTGTTAATCTGTTTTCGGATAAATGCTCTAAGACCAAGAAACTTGCCATAAATTCTGTGTAAGACTGTTTTTAAGTAGTCCCGTTCCCGAGGGTCTTCACTGTCAAATAGCTCCAAAAGCTGTTGTAAATGAAAGACAGTATAGCTGTCAAGAGTAGTTTCAGGATAGGATTTATTGTCACCTGTTATTTAATATCCCTTACTCGCTTCCTCAAAAATTTATTGAGTATCTGTTATGTGCCAAGTACAGTTTGAGTCTTTAGGAGTACAGTAATAAATAAATCAAACAAGTCTCTAGTGAAGAGATACACAATAAAAGTGCAATCACAATTATAGGTAACATATACCCAGTATTCAGTATGATCATCAGGTACTTTTCTAAGCAATCTACTTATATTAATCCTCCCTATGAGTCAGGGAGGGACAGGGACCCAGAGATACTAAGTAAGCCCATGGTCTCAACAGCAAATGTAATGACAGAAGAGAGATTTGAACTCAAGGAGTCAAGCCTTTAGAGTCCTTTATCTCAACCACTGCACTATGCAACCTACTGAGTTTATGTTCCAAATATACAGCTAAAATAAGCCTTCAGCTCAACCGGAGCATGAGGGTAAATGAAACAAGGTAAACCAAAGCAAATCTAAAAGTCCCCAATGATACTGGCAATGTACTCTTTCAAGATCTTAGCTCCTATTGCATAGGTATGCTCACTTTTAAATATTCATTGAGGTGCACATTTACATTTTCTATATGTATGCCATAGGTGAATAACATATTTTTAAGCTCCAATCACTTGTAATCTAAAGTCAATAAAAGAATCCCAAAACACATCAACATAAATACCTGCACAGAATGTTCGTTCATAGCAGCATGACTCACAATAGCCAAAAGCAAAAACAACTCAAATGTCCATCAACCAATGAATTTAGGAGAAGCAGAATGTGATGCAATGGAATATTAATAAGCCACAAAAAGGAATGACGTGCTGACATGTCTTCACATGAATGAGCCCTTCAAATATTATGCTACAGGAAAGAAGCCAGACACAAAGGCCATATATAGTATGACTCCATTTATATGAAATATTCACAGCAGGCAAGTCTATAGAGACAAGAAAGCAGAATGAGGAGTGACTGCTAATAAATCTGGTTTCTTTGGGGGGGGGGTGTTGACAAGAATGATATGTGAATATACAACAAACTGTAAACTTCATATGGGTGAATTTTGCGGTATATAAATTATATCGCAGTAAAGCTGCCCTTTTTATTTTTTTTTTAAAGTAACAAGACCAGATTTCCCTAGCTTAAGAACAAACGTGAGACAGGCTTGAATTTTACTGAGTTCTTCGTACATTCATTATCATTTCAATAAAGCAAAACCCATAGTTCTAATGTCAACTTTGCAGCAAAACATTTCATGAGCATATAGACAGCATAAAAATGAACACCAACAATGCCTTCACTTAAAAAAAAAAAAAAAGTGACCAAGACATACAGAAGCATGATTTCAAGTGATTAAGACATGAAGCAGAGACTGACAGTAGAAGAACAACTCAGTAGGCAGTAATCTAATAAACATTAGATTAACAAACATTAATCTAATAAACAAAGCTATACACTAAGATCAGTCCTTAGGATAATGTGAGAAAGTACAAACAGGATAGTCTTCAAAAATGAAATATAATTTTGAGCTACCTAATGACATCTACTCATTCACTCATTCAAAAAATGAACATTTCAACTAAATATGCATGCCCATAAGAGCCAGGCAAAGTGTCAGGGATAGAATAATTAGCCAGACACAATCTGCTTTCATAGAATCTAGTTTAATTAGGAATACAGGTAAATAAATAGCATGACAAGTGGTTAAGGATGCTGTGTAAATACACAGCAGACATAGCTACTCTACTTGGGGAAAATGGAAGGATCGAGGAAGATGTCTAGAGGAAGTGACGTCCAGGGCAGCCTTGGAGAAATGAGGAGGCAGCTGTAGGAAAGTAGTCCTTGGCAAATCCAGCAGCACATACGTTCACCAGCTATCCCTGCCAACTCTCCGTTCACTTAACCATTCAATCACTCAATCTTTGCACATGCCAGGAACATATACTACACACACAAAATGAGGTGACATCTCTAATCTACTCATCCCATTGTTGATGAGGATGATTAATCTTTTTGAATTTTTTAGTTTTGTTTCAACTCTTATGTGTTGTAGAAGAACTTAATGAGCAATGTGCAACCAACATAAGATTTGAGGGAGTGTTAGCAAAACTTGACTTAACTAGGCTTACATACTGCTAATCTTGAGTTTCATGAAAATATAATAGTCAAACAAAAATTAGTTAATGTTTTTATTAGGCCCTCAAAGAAAATGCATTACTAGACACCTAATTAGAGTCATTTTGAAAGTCACAAATGTTACATATATATATACTACATATATATACTATACATAGATATGTGAGAAATATGAGCGATGAATTGCAGCATATAATTTTTCTACTGCTCTACAGAACATACTTTTGTTGATTTCATAGTGTTAGAGACAAAAGTTAAACTATAACTTTAGGTCAAAACAGGGGCCAGTAGGATGACCTCTGACTTCTAAAACAAAATAATCTGTGTGTGCTTAAAATATATACCCTAAACACCTCCCACATAGAAAAGCATTAAGAAATGTAACTTGACATCTGTAAATGTATAGATGGACTGTGCCCCTTAGAACATAACAGGCAGCTTGTAAACAGGAGGGAGGAGAGAAGGAGGGGGAGGGGGAGGGGGAGGAGGATAAGGAGAAGGAGGAGGTGGAGGAGAAAAAAGAGGAAGCAGCAGCAAGTAGCAGCAGCTGCTGCAAAGTTTCCAAGGTGTCATGTGCTGTCTCCAAAACTGGCCTTCCTGAAGCCCACAGGGATGAACTACAGAGATTTAACCAAAGAACCTTCCTCTGACGCTCATACTAAATCCATAGTGACATGAGAAGGCCAAAATGAAAAAGGGCCTTCCAGCTAAACAAGGGGGAATGGATCTCCCCTCATGACACTGTCCTGAAATGAAAGTGAAGGCGTCAAGATGGAAAAAACTCTCAGGACAAAGAGGATTGGGAAGCAAAGTAGACAAACGTACACATTGTTCAACGGTGGGAAGAGGATGGCAAGCAGTAACTCTTTTTCTCCACGCTGCCAGATTTTCCAACCAGCCAGCAGGGAGGGAAGCCAACAAGAAGCCAGCCAGAGAATCCTTGAAAGGTTTAAGGCACCAGATATATTTGATGGCTAGGGTGTGAGAACTGAAAACAGGACTGACTGAAAATTTGTGAAAAGAGTAACTAGACCTCCCAGATCCCTGCCCTGTGTAATGTACTTGCTACTCAAGATTTACAATCCCCGTGTGAAGAGAAGAAATGAGCAAGTCTCTAGGCTAGGAACATGGCACACAGCTTAGCAAAGTGCTTACTGAAAATAATCACATTACATTAAACTGTATTCTGAACAGTGAGATCTTTTGTTAATCCCCCTTTCTACCCAAGCAACTAATTCTGATAGAGACAGGAAATTAGAAGGTCTTTTTTGGAGGGGAAACTGACAGTCTCAAGAGGAAGCATCTATAGATATACTAATATCTGAGTCTTCCAATGAAATGGCAAGGTTTCTGCCCAATGTGTTAAGCAGCTCACCCCTCCAGCATCCTCCCCTCCAGCCATGCAACACAAATAAGTTCTAAGAGATTTTTCTAGTGACTAACACGTAATGATGAAGGGAGTCAAGGAAAATCAGACATTCAACAATAAAAGTGAAAGCCAAATTAAAAAATCATGAAGATCTCAGAGGACAGAAATCCACAGTGAAGGAGGCAGGGGGAAGAGCTTCAAGAATATAACCTATGGAATAATCAAACATACTAGATCCCCAGACCTAAAAAAAGAATGCTATTACCTATTAATATTCAGAATTAAAGAGTTTCTGAAATACAAAATGAAGCAGAAGCATAATTTTCAGGTAGACTGGCATATTACAGTGACAAATATTCCCCCAAAATGTAACCGATGATATACACAGAAGAAGAAAACCAGAGGCTCAATCCAACTTCCTACTGTGTAATCAGACACATGAAAACCTCTGCCAGGGAACATGCTTTTTTTTTCCTCCTAATTTTCAGGTCCAACACATGTAACAGTAGGCAACAGAGGCAAATTACAAAGAAAATGAAAAGAAGGAAAGTATCTAGGGAAGAATTCGATAAAATTTTCCAAGAGGGGGCAGGGAGGGGAAAGACATGAGTTTCAATATACGTAAGGGTCATTATGTTTCCTGCACAATAAATGAACAAAAATTCACACCCAAGTACATCACTTTGAAGTTTCCAGGCTTTGGGAACAGAGTAGATATCAAGGTCTTACAGACAAAGTTAGTCACTACAAAAGACGAGGGGTTTAGCTGGTTGAAGCCTTTCAATAACCCTGGAAGTTAGAGGACAAAGGGCAATTTCTTTCAAGTTCTGATGAACTATGGTTTCTAAACTATAAATCTAAACCTAGCTGAAATGGTGATCAAGTAAGCAGACAGAATAAATAAAGCATTTTAAAGAATAAGGTCTCCAAAAGTTTTATATCCACTCATGCTTTCTTAGGACCAGAGGATATGCTCCAGTTCCTAAAAGAAAGAAAACGAAGTGAGCAAAGACAGTCCAGAAGGATGACAAAAGAAAGTTCCACTGTGGAGTACACAGCCTCAAGGATGCAATTAGTGCCAACACTAGCAAGATGGTTGGGGTTCCAGGAAGGAGGCCTCCAGAGGAAAAATGTGCAAGTGACAGACTAGCTGATGTGTAGGACACACTGAGAAGAGGAGTACGGGACTCTTAAGAAAATTAAGAGATGGACTAGAGACAAATACACAAACAAGCAAGCAAATGAAAAATTAGTCATCTAGTCATGGCAAATATTAAAAAAATTGAGTCCTATAAGAGGGGTCCTCCCTGGTGGCGCAGCAGGTTAAAGCACAGCACTGGAAGAAGCCAAAGCCACTTCAGCATGCATTCGATCCCCGCCCTGGAGGTGACCCACATGGCATGGCAGACCTCTCCTGACCCACCCGCTGCTCCCCTTAGCAGTGTACTTCATCG